AAAACTTTTTTTTTTTTTAAATTTGTTAATTACTTTAAAAAATGAAAAATGTGTGAAAGTTTTTTTTTTTTTTTATTATGTAAAAGTTTTACTCAAATTAAAAATTTTTTTTTAAAAGTTGAGCAAAATTTGTAACCATTTTGTAAAGCTGCATTACAGATACAACATTTGTAATAAAGTAGTATAAAGATGTTAAAATGAATCAAAAGTTTTGCATGCTTTATCGGTGTTTACAATATGAAAGAAGTCATCCTAGCTTATACCTGTTAGAAGTGTAATAAAAATTTACAATGGATTTTTAACGACACGCAGTTTTTGTAAAAAAATAATTTTGTGTGTAAAGATATTATCGCATTTTTGTGAGAATTTGGAATTATAGCATTGCCTTCGAAGGATCCAGCTTCAACAGGTTCGTTTTTGATGTTTGTTCGTACTTCTTTTTCCTTATAATATTCTTTCAGGTATTCAACCATACCCTTATGATCTTTATTGCCCATTATTAAAAAAAGACGATGTCAAATTTTCGCCTTTCCTAATGTTATAGCCAAGGCTAATCATTCTTTCTAATTTAATTTTTATTTAATTTTTATTTAACCCAACTGCGAGACATTATGCATTTAATATATGCACCCACCTTAATTTATGTCCCAACCGCGGATTGAGAGCACGTTCATGATGTACTTCAAAATGTTGGGTTAAGACATATTGAATTTGAAAATGAAAAATTTTATTTTAAGACTTACCCTTGGTGAATTTATTTAAATTCAGCCTAATAAACTTTTATAATTCATTTGTGTGATAAAATGTTCGTGCTAATTAAATTAAAAATGGGCAAAGTTAAAATGAAAATTGACGAGCTAAAATGAAATAATGCCAAATTGAAGTAAAAAGTGCCAAATTAAAATGGAAAAATGACAAATTAAAGTGAAAGTTGCCAAATTAAAACGAAATATTTACAAATTTAAGTGAAAATTGGCCAACTTAAACGCAAACAGGTGTTGTTATTGTTACGTCTTCTGGGAAAAGACTTATCCGTCAAAACTAAAACATATCTAAAAAAAACAAAAGTAAGCAAGCCGTCCTTTATTAAATGATAATATATACACCAGCGTCAGTTTATTGCTTATAGTGCTTGGAGTGCTAAATGTTTATGAAATAAATGTTTTTAGTATCTTCTTATTTTGTTTAAAAATAAAAAAACTAGATCTTTTCCATATTATAAATCATAAATATCAAATAAAGCATTGATTGCATAATTATCAGGTGTAAAACATAATTAGCTGCATAATTATTAAATATGAAAATTTGTTAAAAACAATCTGAATTGTCGATAATATACAGAGAGCTACATTTGTAAAACTCATTTCCTTAAAATAATAGTAAAACTATTAGTTCGATATAAATCATTATAAGTATTTAAATGAAGAGAAATTTCCTAATGGCTTATCTCAAACTCTTTTTTTATTTGTAAGATACATTCCTTCCTCCGCGTTATATTTTTTAGTTATATTTTATTTATATTAGAAGCAAAAGGAAAGTATAAAAGTAAATCAGTTAAAGAGTGAAATTTAGCTGATTTATTTTTAGATACAAACACTCAAATACGCGCGCGCACACACACATACATCTAGTTTATTTTTCGAAATTAACCTCGATAGATGATTTTTATAGATCCAGGCACCAAATACATGTGTACATGTAAAGGCGTACACCTCTAAATATTGCTTTGAAAATACTTTTAAATTTAGAAATGGCGCTTTAAACATGTCTATAAAAAAAATTTAAAGCTACAAACTTGTGACACAGCAAATTTAGATTGCCATAAATGTAATAGTTTTGTGATTTGCAATGTAATTCATTACTTCAATATGTTCACATTTATATGTCGTTCGCATTTATATGCTGCCATTGTTTGTAACAAAGTATCAGCTCACATATATTTTTAGTGAGTTTTCAGCAAACCGGTTGGAAAAAAAATGTTCATAACTGTTGCAAGTTTCTGGTGATAAATATTTTATAACAGAACAAAAAGTTGTTTGAAAAGTTGAACAATTCAATAGCAGAAGTAAAGCAGATAACAAGTTGAGATACTTGATAATCTACCTAAGTTGAAATGTTAAATTTTTCTTGACACAAATATTGTGCTAATACACATTTTTGGTTATTTAGTTTGTAAAGATACTATTGAATGAACTATGAACTATTGGAAGATGATCTGCTTAAAAATAACTGTTTTAAGCCATAAACGTTTGAATAATACGTACACTTGCAGGCTTAGAGCGCTGGCTTCTGAGTTAAGAAGTCTGATGTACAATGCAAGCTCGGGCCATAATTGCGACATCGGTAAAAGGGCAAGAACCTCTTTGTTATATGCTCTTCTGAGGTGTCTTGTGAAAAGTACGTAAGAGACTCAAAGCACTTTTGTAAACACACACAAAAAAAGGAATTGACAATAAGCACAGTAATAAGGTCTGCATTAGTAATCACCGTGATTTGGATAAATACTATTTAAAATATCAAAAACAAAAAATATTAAAAGCATTACTCACAAGTCATTTAAAAACACATTTAGTTTGCCTTGGTCATTTAAACACGCAGTTAGTTAGTCATTAAACTTTTAGGACTTATACTTGACGAAAACGTGACATTGAGAGAATACATAAGAACAACAGAAGATAAAATTTCAAAAAGTATTAGCATACTAAAAAAAGCTCTGCATTTATTAAACCAAAACTCCTTAAAAATATTACATTTTCCCCTCTATCTTGTTATATAAGCTATGCAAACATTGCATGGTGCAGCTCTAATGTAAATATAATAAAAAAATTGCTTAATAGACAAAAACACACGGTCAGAATTATTTCAAGTTCAGGTTAATTAACACATTCTGAAAAAAAATTTAAACTTCTTCGCATACTCAATGTTTTTCATTTGAACCTTTATCAAATTCTTAAATTTATGTACAAACTTCATAATAAAATAATTTATAATACTTAGTACACTACAAGATTATCAATTATTCACGTGTACCCTACAAGATTTTCAAATTACCATTATGAGCAACCTACAATGCACAACTTGGTTAAAAACTTTCTATTGCCATCAGAGGTCCTAAATATTGAAACAATTTATTAAAAAAAGGAAATAAAAGATAAAAGCACTAACAAAATGTTTATATATTCTTTTCAGAGTATTTAATTTTTTAATTTAATTTTATTTTTTAAAACTATCTTATTAACTTCCCAGCCGGCATTTGGTCCAAAAAACGTCTTTTAAACCTTCAAAAGACGTTCTGAATGTCTTTTGAAAGTCCAACTGACATCTTTTTAGTACTGGGTTGTCTAATTTAAATTTTCTTTAAATTATTCTATCATTTTCTTTTTTTTACACGATTTTCTTTTGATTATAGATTAGTAACTGATCTTAACGTACTTGAAAATATTTATTTATAATTTTTAAATGGTAGGGGAGACCGGGGCTAGTTGGCCGCAGGGGTAAGTTGACGAATTGCGTTTATCTTTAAAGCCTTTCATCAGAAAGTGATAAAAATTACACAGAATCTTCCTAATTGACTGTTTCATCATTCAATGTAGTATTGTCAGGATTCGCGCATGCGCATGGGAGATATTAGGATTTAAGTGTTTTTTGGACAAAAACGTAACTTTTGAAACATCGCTTCCTTTTTACTTTACAAAGAAAATAGTTAGTCAAATGGAAAAAAAATTATTGTAAAAGTTCTAGCCACAATTGGTTTACTATATTCAGTTTGACTTTTTTTAAAAGTTGCCGTTTTTCAGGATCTATAGACTGTTTATTGAAAAAAAAGCCTTCGGGGTAAGTTGACAAAATTTTTACGGGGTAAGTTGGCTCATAGCATTTACTATGGAGAAAAATATTTATTTTTATAAAAATAATTTTTTTAATTTTTTTAATTTTTAACAATATTGAAAAAACTTATTCTTACAAAAAAATTATAAAAATTTTTTTTTTAGGTTTTTTGTAACAGGTAAAAAGAGGGCTGCTGTTTTGGCTGTTATACGTACTAATATTTAGCACAAGCTAAAAATAATATCAAATTATTAGCTTAAATTGTTGCCAAAATTAATAGGTAAAAAATTTCTATTAATTTTGCACTTAATAGTACATTAATAATCACGTTTATAGTTTGCGTCAACTTACCCCGTGGTGGGGTAAGTTGGCGCAATTTTTTTTTTTTTTTTGAGGGCCCCGTAAGGCCCCAAGAATTTTTTTTTGTAAATCCATGAAACTTTTATAAGTTACCCAAGTTCATACGCTTTGAGACTACACTTTAATATTTTCAAAAAAGTGTGCTATTAGGGCTACAGAGCTCATAGAGTAAAAACCGAGCCAACTAGCCTCGGTCTCCCCTACAACGTAATTTTATGCTTACCTTTTAATGGTTGTACACGCTTGTTGATGAAAGCACGTCGAGGCGAAGTGATAAAGTAAATATTGTATTGCCTTCTTTTCTCTTTTAGCCCCGGTCATGTAGATTTTATTTATATGACACGGCCTTGTAATCTTTTTTTTTAAATGACGAAATGAATAAAAATGAATAAATAAATAGTTTGACTTGATCATGAAGCTACGCATGCTAGTTTGGCTTTGTCAGATTTAGTATAACGTTACTGAGAAGATATGCAACAACATGTGTTTTCAATTTATCGTTTTTACGTGACTTTGGATATGCAAGAACATGTATTTTCAATTTATGGTTTCTATGTAACTTTCGATATGCAAGAACATGTGTTTTCAATTTATGGTTTCTGCGTATTTTTCGATATGCAAGAACAAGTATTTTCAATTTATGGTTTCTACGTAACTTTCGATATAATTAATGAGTAAATAATCTTATTTAATATTGAAAAGAGGTATTTTTGGTTCAGAATCATTAAGAAAAAGAAAAATAAACTGAAAAAAAAGGAGAGACACAATAGGAGTGAAGACTACTGAATAATAATGAAATAAAAACAAAAATATAAAAACAATTTGTTAAAAAATAGTTAAAATCTGAAAATACAAATTTTTTACTCAACTTAAAATATTTAGATAATTGAGCGTCTGATGTAATCGGGATTAACGCATAACCAGTTACTATAAAATAAAAAAAAAAAAAAAAAAAAAATAACAAGATGTAAGAAAAAAAATCTGACAAAATAACAGTACCTTATAAAAATATATTCAATAAAATGTTAAAAAGAAAATTTTTTAAAAGTAAATTTGGTCAAGCAAAAACGTATGTAAATTATTAATAAAATTACCGTTTGTTTGCGTCTGAGGTTTTGATGTATGGACAATATACGTTGCAATAACCAGCTACAGAGATTCTACCGTCATTTTCAAATTGAGCGTTTTCCCCAGTCCAACCCTCACAACAATGACAACGACCAGTTTTCTGATCGCATTCCCCATCATTAACAACACATTTAGAATTGCATGGTGAAGGTGAGGGGAGAGATTTGCAACTTGGATTTCTTAATATGTTTTAGAAGTTATAAAATATATTATTTAATATTATACCATATAAAGTATTTAGTATTTTTATTATAAATATAAATTAAAAGCTGTATTTAGCTTACTCTACTCCAAGACCAAGATAAGGGCACGATATATTACAGTTTAATAAATCTCCATCAGTATAATAATAATCGTTTTTGTACAGTGCATAACCTCCCGTCCATCCTTTGCAACATTGGCAAACACCATCGACGCATTTTCCACGTTTATTTATTTCACATACGGACGGATTACACAATTTTTTTTGAGGTTCCGCAGCGCATGTTTTGTTTCTATTAAAAAAAAAAAAATAAAGTTATACAAAATATGTAAAAACGCAGATATATATATATATATATATATATATATATATATATATATATATATATATATATATATATATATATATATATATATATATATATATATATATATATATATATATATATATATATATATATATATATATATATATATACAAAACCTATTAATTAAATAGGTTCCTGCGGTGCTATTACGTGGTAATTTTGATTTATTTTAAGACGGTAATAGCGTTTTTAAGTTAGCATTTCATTTAAAAATAGTTCTGTAACCAGCTTTTCTGAATATTCTTCTAAGTCTGGGTGATATTATTGGCATCTTTAGTAAAGAGACTCTAGGAAGGTTCTTAGAGTTTGATAGAATTTTATTTTTTTTCGCTAAACGTTTGTTGTCGAACCTGATAAGAAATTTTTTTAAGCATTTTTTCATCGTACCCATTTTAGTAAACACTTGAATTAAAAAATTTATTTTAACTTTTAAATGGTTTTCGCTGCATATTAAGTATGCTTTGTGTATGTATCCATTGAATTTTGCTTGTAAAATGCTTTTCTTAGATCTCTCGTTAGATTATGATTAATTTTTTTGCCCATTTTGAGTTCTTTCAAAATGGGCAAAAAAATTAATCTCCTTATCTCTCTCGTTAGATTATGATTAAAAAAATTATTCATAACTAACGAGAGATCAAAGAAAAGCATTTAAAGAAATTAATCAAGACAAGAAAATTGATACTTATCCATTTGATAAAGGAATAGAATTTGTAAGAATAGAGCATGATAAAGCAATTGAAAAAATTAGTGAACAGATTAGTCCAACAAAAATTATTAGCATTGATCCCACTCTAAGTTATGCAGCTAAAATAAAGTCTTCCCTTTCAAAACTTAACAAAAAGCAACGTTTTTTTAATGATGATTATGAAAGCATATATCCAAGTGATCCAGTCTCACCACATTTGCATGGGCTAATTAAAGCACATAAACAAGACAAATCTTAACCAATGAAATTCGTTGTATCCACTATTGGCACACCTTGTTTTTGAATTTTGAATTATTTGGTTAAAAGAATACAACTGGTCTTAAATAAAAATTCTAATAGGTTAAAAAATTCAAAAGATTATATTAACAAAACTGAGTCGTGGTTAATTGAAGAGGATGAAATACATGTATCCTTTGATATCGTAAACTTATACCATTAAAAGAAAACAACTTTAATACTGGATCAATTAGATAAAAGCGTTTCTTACAAAAACTCAACTCAACTTACTGTAGCTGAAACAAAACAACTAATTTAACTTTGTTTGTTTTGTTGATTTTCCTTGTGGAGCGGTAAGATTCATGAGTTGGAGAATTCAGGCCGAATTGGATTGTCTTTTATGATTGTTTTGGCTGAATCTTTTTTACAATATCATGAGAAAAAGGAAATATTAATGACAAAGACAATGATTTCTTCAATTGATATTAAATCCTTTCATAGATATGTAGTCGATCGCCACGCAAGGTTTTCTAACTTAAAGCAAGCGGAACAGTTACGAACAATTCTCAACAGAAAACATCTATATTTAAAATATACTATTTGAAAGTTTGAAGTTGAAAGCAAAAATAAGACACTTAACTTTTTAAATATAACTGTTATTATAATACACGAGGAATATTTCAAATCGAGCAAAAATTTCAAATAAATTATTTAGTATTTAAAGAATTCGTATTATCTGATGCTTTAATTAGTTTATATATATATATATATATATATATATATATATATATATATATATATATATATATATATATATATATATATATATATATATATATATATATATATATATATATATATATACATATATAAATATATATATATATATATATATATATAAAAATATATATATATATATATATATATATATATATATATATATATATATATATATATATATTATATATAGATATATATATATATATATATATATATATATATATATATATATATATATATATATATATATATATATATATATATATATATATATATAAATATATATATATATATATATATATATATATATATATATATATATATATATATATATATATATATATATATATATATATATATATATATATAGATATATATATATACTCTCGTACAAGATGTCAATATTTGAATCATATATATACAAATAAAACTAAAGCAGATTAAATGTAAAACATACTTACTATAAAGAAGTTTTAATATCAGTTCAAACCAATTTGTAGAGCATTTATTCTTTACTTAATATAAAGAGCGTATTACATGAGTGCATTATATGTAATTACCTATAGCTTTATATCTTACAATGTATCAGCTTTGAAGAATACAAACCTGAATGTGTTATGTAGTAATTTTAAGTGTTTTTCTATTATTTTTTTTACCTTTGTACAATTATGGTATTTGCTGATTACAAGAAATAAATGCACGAGTAGAAATATTTTAATGCATGCGTGTAATTAAATAAAGTTTAATACCTTAAATCATGCGTGTAATGACAAGGAGTATTACAGTTTAAAGCTGTTATTCTATTTTTCCCCCATCCTGGATCAACTGTGTCTTTAATATAACTAGAAAGTGCTCCAGTCCAACCATAGTTGCACAAACATCTACCAGTATTTACACCACTTTCTTGAATGCACCATCCACCTGGAAAACATTGGTTACAGTAACTTGCACAGTTTAAAGCGACCCCTGAACAGGTGGCCAATGGCTTTAAATCAACACATAAACTAGATTTTGAAAAAATTGTTCCGATGAGGATAAAAATTGCATTTGCAAGCATTTTTAACTTTCTGTATCTTTTCAGCTAAAAAAAAAGTTGAATTGAAATAAAAATAATGCTGCTCTATGCCCTAATATTCTTTTTTTCTTTTTTTTTTTTACATTTATTTCGAAAATAGAGATGACGATAAGTCGTCGCAATCTTTTCATAGAGCCCCTTAAAAAGATTTAATAATACACAGTCATTTTTATTTTAAACTAAAAATCGACAAACTAAGAAACTTTGAAAGAATAATAGTATTCTTTACTGCGCTAAAAATTAAAGCAAACAAAGACAAAAAAAAAAAAAAAAAAAAAAAAAAAACGAACTGAAAAGACTAAAAAAATGATCAAGAGACTCCCGCGTCAATAAAAGTATTATAAAAAATATAAAATTTCAAGTTTTAAAAATTTCATATCAAATAGGTAATTATTTTAAATAGGTATTTATTTCAAATAGACATATAGGGACACTTAAGAAACAAAAAGTTGCGAATAAAATAATCAAAATTCATTGATATAAAAAAATAAAAAAATAAAAATAAAAATTTCTAAGAATAAGAATTATGACAACAAAAGCAATAATACTTTAAACAGTTTAAAGTTTAGTAAACTTTAAATTTTTACATTTTAAAAAAACTTTCAAATTTTGAAAGTGGGTGGGGCAAACGGGACAGCTAAAAAGCAGCAGTTATTTTTTAATTGTAATGCATTAAAAATGATGAAAAATGAAGGCTATCTATTGCGCAAATACGTTGAGACATTAAACTCTCATAAAAGTAATATACCCATTGAAACTACTTGACCATACATTCATACACCAAAAAAATCAAATAACAGCTATAATAAATTGTGTGTGTGTATGTTTTATCATAAAGTAGCTCCGCTTTACTCTAACCTAAATATAATTAAATTGGTAACTGCTACTAATTTTAAATTAAACATAAAATTTATGGATCACATAAATTACACAAAAAATATCATGAAACTATTTGGCAACTTTTTTTGATGAGCTGGCTTATTAACAATATGCAAGCATACAGCAAACTTATATATGCCATATGTATCAGCAGCTTTTCTTTTTTTTAATCTATTCTAATCCGTTTTTAATCCAAGCTAAAAGTGAATTTCATCCCGTTTTGGATGATTGATCTTTCTATCTTTCTTATATAATTACTAACCTTCTTCGTTTACATTAAACGCTATTAAAAATTGAAGTTAAGTTATAAAAACAAGAATTTATTTAAATTTTGCTAAAATTGATTTTCTAAATAAAAAATTTAGTATTTTAGATTCAAATTAAATTCATCAAATTGGAAACAGCATCACGAAATGGTAGTAATATACTCATTTTTATAAATAATTTGTTGTCTCGATATGCCTCACAAAAGTCATTTACTGAAATTAATACTATTCAAAAAGTTTAATTCCAAATGTTTTTTTAAAACCTTATTCTAAAAGAGGATAAAAAATACTGTCTGAAAAATATTAAACTTTCATAAATAAAACAAATTTGCAATTGTTCAAGGTAAAACTTTTGTCGTTGTATCACTTAAGAAAATATGCAAGTTTTGTTTTTCGCAAACATAATGATGCATTTTAGTACATTTTTTTCCAATAATGAAACACAATAATTTAAAATGTTTTATCAAAAAAAATTTGAAAAAAAGTTTTTTTTAGCTGAGATATAAGACTTCAGGCATAAATGTCCTATTATGGCCCGCTATCCCAATATGCCCCGCTCTACCCTACATTCATCATTTTCATATCTTTCATTAAGGTTTTAGCGTGTTCACGTTTATCTTTAGGGTGAATGATCCTGCTGGCATGTTTTTTTAAGCTATAAGTTTTTTTATATTTTGATGGTTGTGTACGTGCTTATAAAATGTTTGCATAGCTGATAAAACAATGAATTAGCCCAAAATATATTAGTTTAAGACTTTGTTTATTGACGTATGAACGAATTCAATACATTATACCAACAGTTTTGGTGATCTTAGACTGGAAATAATCTAATGCTGGTCTATGGTCTAATGGTAAAATAAAATAATGGTAATATCGAAAATTAAGTATAGGTGTTGCGTAAAAAGAACACAAACTTTTAAATTTGCGTTATATCATAAATTTTAAAGTTTGTATATGGATAACATCATTCCTTGTGTTATATCGTTCTTAGTGTTATATCATACTTTGTGTTTTAATGTTATTATTCATAAGTTTTAAGAATATTTTTTTCCTAAATAAGAAAAGAAAAAAAAAATTTATAAATAAAAAAAGGAGTTAAAAATGTTTAGACTTTATACTAAACAAATAATTAATTTCAAGGCATAATATTTTTTGCTAAATTAAAAGCTGCAACACTCGAGAATAAGGTAAAAACTTTTTCCATAATATGTAATATGCCTTTAGTAAGATAGAATTTTTTACCTTCTGAGGTAGAAAATTACATTAGAAATAATGGTTTGTCATACAATTTAAATCTACCTTAAAGATATTTTTTTTACCTTTTAAGTATAACTTTTTACTTTAGAAAGTAGAAAATGATACTTTACTAAGGTTTATCATATATCCTACCCAAAGGTAGAAATTTTAAATTCTTTTTTTAAGAGTGTATTTATTTACCTTTTCTTTTTCATTTTTTTTTAAATTCAAAAGTGAAAAAAGTTCATTTAAGAAAAGTTTAGGTGGATAAATCATCTAATATCTTTGAATGTATTTGAAGTTAACTTAGTATTGCATATTAATTGCTAATGTAATAAAAGATATATATATATATATATATATATATATATATATATATATATTACATGTTTATTTTAGATTTATAAAAGATTTACAAGTAACCAATCACAGATTGGCGGTAAAGATACACTAACATAAAAATCATAAACATAAAGTTCGAAATATACAAAGTAAACAAAATATAGTTGAATACAACTCCGAGACACGAATAAAATAAACACGAATTATAACAATGTAGTAACGTGTACATAAATATAATCCGATAAATATATCTCTATATCATTCCAGTTAAAATAAAAATATACAATAAATAAAAATAAATTAGCTGATTTTTCGGAGAAGCGTTTAGATGTTAGATACATAATTTAAATGTTACTATACCACATTCCTTTTTGTTGAGCGACTCTTCTCTGTTAGTGAAGTTGTTAAATTCTGTATCGGAAAAAATTTTGTATCAAAAACTAACTATTTGTCAATGTTATTTCTTGTTAAACAATTTATAATGACGTAAAAACAATGCAATTTATAAAGACGTAAAAACTAGGCGTTTCTCAGAAACCAAATCAAGTTTTATTAGGTATGTAAACATCTAAATAGCTTTCAAGTATAATTGAGCACAAAAGACCTATCTGTTTGCCTAAATTAAGCTTGAAATTTGAAATCTGAATTTGTTTCTAGCATTATTAAAGCATAATTCTATAAGCAAGTTCGCACTTGTAAAACAAGCATTTAAGTGTTCTTTTAAATTTTGCACAAACCAGTGTTTAAAACTAACTTGAAATTAAAAAAAACAAACCATTGTTATAATTTTGTAAACAAGCAGTCAAAACCTAAAGCACATTTATTTTGGAAACTCTAACTACTACGCCACCGCTGCTAATATAAGTTAGTAGTAATAATAATAATAATTCATTTCATCAATGAATTATTATTATTATTACTATTAACTTATATTAGCAGCGGTGGCGTAGTAGTTAGAGTTCTAGCTCAGAACCAAGAGATCCTATTTTTGCAGCCAACTTGGGCCAGATTAGAGAGCTGGTAATGAAGAAGGCGTGAGTTTCCTATTTAAATGCTTTTCCGTGGTTACCTTAATAACCAAAAAAAAAAAAAATGGCGAATTACAAACCATTGCATTGATACATTATTATCATTGCGGAAACTTGCGATTTTATGACTATAATTTGACTGAGAATCATTTGATTTAGAATCATTTTACAATGTTTTTTGTAAAAATTAAAAATTAAATCGTTATGTTCTGACCGGAGAAATATAATTTTAGGTATTATAATCCGAAAATATACGTTATATAAGTTTTATAGATACTACAAGTTTATAAAAGTATATTTTTATTATTTAATAAATTAAATATCGTTTAACTGTTCTTTTAAATAGTTTAATTGCAGTTTTTCATGTCTTTATTATCATTATATGTTGGAAATGTTAATATGTTAGGTACAAGAAAAACTTAAATTTTTATTTTTTTAATATTTTTATTACTTTTGGTAACAGGTTACCAAAAGTATGCCAATATTTTTATTACTTTTGGTAACAGGTTGATACTTATTAATTGCTCGCAGTAATGATTATTAACTGTATTAAAATTCATACATATAATTCATGTTAATGGTTCTGTCAAATTAATCTATTGTTTTCAACAAAAACAATAAAAAACAGTTGATATTTTTTCTTTGAGGTAAGTGGGCGCAAATAAAAACGTAAATAATGTTTCAAATATTTATTTTATTGTTATTGTTATTTATTTTGTTATTATTGTTATTTATTATTATTTATATTAAAAAATTACATCAGGAAATGATGATAAAAACTTTATCGTATAAAAATCTTCAATTGATTGATTGGTTGATTGATTGATATTTATTAGAACAAAGTATAAACACATGTTCTATAGGACAAGAAGGCCCATACAAAGATGGACACTAACAACGTGCCCAAAGAAATTTAAAAATATCGCTACAAAAAAAAAAAAAAAAAACAAACTATAAATAAACAAATAGTTGTTCCTTTTACGATAGATATTTGTTTAAGTCGAAAGATTTAATTTTATTTTTGAACGTTAAAATGTTATTTGCATTTACAGCCTCCAAGGTCATATTGTTCCACATGTCAACAACTCGATAAGAAAAGCTATATTTTCTTAAATCCAAGCGACAAGATTGTTTGCTTATTTTATAATTATGACCGCGGGTGTGGCTGTCATTGTCAATCGCAAAGAACATAGATTGATCAGGATACAAGGGTCACATGTTTTAAAACATTTCAAAATTAAGTATGCTCTAGAGTTAGCTTGATGGATGACGTAAAAATATGCTTTTTATAATTAAGGTTACAGTCTATTGTTATTTCTAGATCTTTTGGTTTTGAAGACCAAGCCAAAGAATATTCACCTAATTTATAGTTAACCTTTATACCTTTGCATAATGAGGGTGCTATTCTAAGTGCAAAACACTTACTACAAGCAATTTTAGTTGCCAAGTTTCTGCCCATTGTAAAAGTTTATTTAAAGCATCAACTAAATCTTGGCTTAGATCCATATCACAGTACGAGCTATATAACTTTGTATCATCTGCGTAAAGTTTTACACAACATTCCAGATTATTAGTTATAGCGGTTAAATCATTAACATATAATAAAAACAATGTGGGACCTAACACACTACCCTGTGGAACTCCACTAACAATGCGTATAGAGTTTGATATAGAATTACCGACCTTGACTTGTTGATATATATCGGTGAGAAAAGCGGAAATTCAATTTAAAAGATTACCTTTTATGTTATAGGATGCAAGTTTTACTAATAGTTTGGTATGCGAGACAGAGTCAAACGCTTTTTGGAAATCAATATAGACAACAGTGTGGTGTCAATCAAGTAGTGCCTCGGAGATTTTTTTCTGCTGGAAAAAATTTGTAAAAAAAAATGTCGAGCCAGAATGAATAATGACCTACTTAATAAATGTTTCTTTAAAATTTTTTGTCTAAAAGTTAATCTAAATACTAATATCAAAATTCACCCCCCCCCCTCCACCTAAAATTTCTGAATATCTGAACATCGGGTCTTTTTTTTTACATCATACGAAAAAAATCTAACTACACGAAGTTTCCGAGTGTTTGCATAATATGCTTGCCACTAATAGTAAAATTTTATATCCTCCAAAGCTAGTCTGAACGAACCCTTTCAATGGATCATCCACAGACGGACTGGATCTGTGGGCTGCTTTGACACAGTCCAATCTGCCAATAACAAAAAGTGTATTTGGGTTAGCATAGAGCAATCGGATCAAACCAAAACAGCAGAAAACAGAGTCAATAAAAACAGTCCTTAACTCTTTTCTACAACCATTGTCTTTTCCACTAACTAAGTTACCACTACGCCGTCCGAGACCATTGTTGGTTACCTGTAAACCAAACCAGCCACGCTTAAACCAACTAAATCAGCAGAAATCAAACAAAATTAAAAAAATATATAACAATGCGCATAAACAACTTATTTTCTGGGCAAATGTCAAATGTCAGACACTTTACTGCCCGGTTACCAACAGCATAACAAAAACCGAGAAAGCAGAGGAGGGGATGAAGCAATTTACATAAAATGTGGCATCCAAGAAAATAAAACGAAAGTAAATCAACTTAACTCGAAAGATATCGAACAGCTATGGAGAGTGATAACGATAGGCGATGAGTCTATCTTAATAGGCTGCATATACCGACCAAACGATAATGATATTGGAGTTCTAGAAAAAGTCATCAAGTCAATTAATTCAGCAAAGCAGAGCTTGTCAATACTAGGCTGTTCGTCTGTCTTAATTTACGGTGATTTCAACTTCAGCCACACAACATATGAGGTACTTAAAACTGATGGAAGCGCAGCACATATACAAAACAAACATGCATCCGACCCGAAATGCTAGCAATGTCTAAACGAAAACTTTCTTATGCAAATGGTCACTTTCTGTACTCACTGCAGAAATAGAAAAGAAAGAACATCAAGCACACTAGATTTGTTAATCACTGATGAACCTGACCGCATACATAATCTACATGAAGGCAACTCACTTGGTTACACACTAGCTGGGAAAGACCACTGCCTACTTATTGGCTCATTTGCTACAAACAACGCTTGTGTTAAAAAAGAACAAAAAAAAATCCTGAAACATTGCCTTGAAAAAGGGCTCTTTACAAAATCTCAACATATATTTCTTCCAAGACGCGGCTGTACAACCAACCTATTAGAGGCACAAGACATTTTAACAAACGCTGTGATTTGCACAGACTTTCCTAAAACTTTTGATAAAGTACTTCACCAACGTCTTTTTTTAAAACTTGATGCATACTGCATACACACTGGAAAAATAAATGTGTAGTTTTGATACACAAAAATTTGTGTAGTTTTATTTTCACACAAAAATGTGTAGAATTAACACAAAATTGTGTAGCCACCATTTTAATAAGACACGTGCGTGTTAGCGGTTTCGTTTTGGAGGGAAATCGATTTCGAAGTTCAAACAAAGAGAAGAAAAGAAATATTTTTGTTTTTTTTTGGTAAGAAGCATTTTTTGTTACAATATGTTTAAAAATAATACCTTGGTGTTACAATATAAAAGAGTAGTTAAATCTTTTGTTTTTATTTGCTGTTCTTTATTCACATTTATATATTTTCACTCAATATACATGCTGCATAAATTGGTGCACAAATATAATAGATACAATTGTGTAAATATAACTAAAGCAAATGTAAATGATTATTCAAATACTTGCGTAATACATTGTAATTTTTTGCATGAGCGATAATTAGTGTTAGTACATAAACTGTAAAATAGCTCGTGGTCAAATACCAATTTATATTTAATTACATTTTTAATCAGAAATCAGAATTTGTGTTGCTAATGAATACTGTCATAAGTAGCAATTTATTCTAATATTTTTGTTTACTTTCACTGTGCATCGTAATACTTCAAAACCATTAGATAAGTCATGTTTTAATTTGTATTTTTGTCAAATTAGTTTAATAGTTGCATATTTTTAAGAAGAAGTTTAACTCTATTATCACTCTATACACTGCAATTATAATTGTAATCACTAATTAGAGTAATAAGGAAAATAAATTTATTTTTATTGTGATTTAATGCATAAATACTAGCATGACGTACTTTAATGACATATTTTAAATTTTGTCCGTAATTATTGTAACTTTTTCATTCAATTACAAGCAAGTAGCTTTTATGTTTATCAGTTTGATGTTTTTGTTGTTACTGAACACATTACATCTTGCTATTAAGCTATGGTTTTTAAGTTTTTTTTTAGTGGTGAATAACATTAATAATAATTATTATTAACCTATATTTCAAAAAACTTATTATATTTTGTATGAAGTTATGGTTTTAATTGATTTTACTGTATTATTCAATATAACTCGTTGTTGATGCATCTTATAATATAATTTAATTAATATAATCTTGTGTTTCTAGTTGTTTGGACTCTAGACGGTTCGGTAAAAGCAGCTGTGGTATGCAGTAATTTGGCTGAATTGAAAACCAAAGGTAATAATCATTGAGTATTGTTATTCATAACTTTTCTTATAAGCGGTCATCTCAAATAGAAGGTGCAAACAATTAGGTTTCTTCTACACGAAACAATGGGCTATTACTGCCCATTGTTTCGTGTAGAAAAAAGTATTGATGCTTTTACAATTAAGAACTTCTTAACACATTTTCACTTGAGACATAACTTAGCTAAATATGATAAAGTAGCACTTCATTGTGGACAAGATGGCTGTATGAGATATTTTGATAGCTTAAGCTCATTATTGACTCATTTACGTAGAAAGCATAAGCTTACTTCGACAGATGCAAGCTCCATGGAACAAAAGTTGATAATGAACCAGAAAATCTGTGTGATGAAATTGAAATGAGTGAGCAAGTAGAAGAGCCTGAAAATGATAAAGTTACCGAATTTAAGGAACAGCTAAGACAGCTACTGTTTAACGTTTATGCTAAATATAGTTGCTTAGATATTATACAGGAGGGATTTACTGATTTATTAGAGGGGGTGTGTCAAATGTTTTCTGATAAATTAAAGAATGTTGCAAATAATTTAGATGCAGTTCATATATCCACAACCAAAACTCAACTTGAATCAGTAATTCAAGAAATCGACAATGTTAAGCCAACTTTGAAAGAAGTAGGAAACTTTGAACAGCAATTGAAACACTTTAAAAATCATATGAAATTTGTTTAGCCGGTTGGACGTCCAATATTTGTTCGTTATGGATAAGGAATATGTATTAGGAATAGGATATTGACATATTTTGCCAGTTTCCTTATCCCGTTTGGATAAGAAAACTGGCAAAATATGTCAATATCCTATTCCTAATACATACCAGTATATACCAATTCATCAGACAATTAGATTTGTTTATAGCTATATGTATGACATCTTAAAAAAACAACAAAGGAACACAAATAATTTAATAAGTGACTTTAGCGATGCTTCTTATTTCAAAGAATGTCAACTGTTTATAGAAAATTTGGATGCCTTACAGTTACATTTATATTTCGACGATTTTGAAACCGTTAATCCGTTAGGCTCGAAAACAAAAATTCACAAACTAGGTGCAGTCTATATAATGATACGGAACTTGCCATCCTATTTAAACTCCCGTTTCATGCATATTCATCTGGTATGTCTTTTTTATACAGAAGATATACAGAAGATATACAGAAGATATATAGAAGATATACAGAAGATATACAGAAGATATACAGAAGAAGATACAAAAACTACGCGTGGATATGAACCAGTTCTTGAAGAAATGATTAAGGATATTAAAACATTAGAAATAAAGGGTATTGAAATTGTGCTCGGTAAAGCATGTCAGACAGTTAAGGGCACTGTTCTTTTGTTTTCGGCTGACAATTTAGGTGCTCATGGAATGTTAGGTTTCCAAGAGAGTTTTACTTTTGGTTGTATAAAGCATTCAAGATCAGCACCGAGCTAGAGATTTTAAACCAAGAACTGCTGAACAGCATGAAAAAGACGCGCAAGACTGCAACACAAGAAATACTGATGTAAAGCGACAATCACCCTTTAATGATTTGCATTATTTTAAAGTTACTTACAACTATTGTGTGGATGCTATGCACGATATATTTGAAGGCGTTTTTCCTAATGTTTTAAAATCAGTTTAATAACAGCGATAAAATTTTTACATGTAATGTAAAAATTTTATCGACAATAATAAGCTCCATTCTCGACTGAAAGCATTTCGTTATGCCACACATAAAAAAAGAGATAAGCCGTCTTGTATAACTTTAGAAAAATTGAAGTCAGGTGATAATCTTCTGGGTCAGCGTGCTGCTCAATATCTGTGTTTAAGTAGACTTATTGGTTTAATACTTGGAGATCTTATAGACTGTGAAAATACTTATTGGCGGTTGGTCACTCTTTTAATGGAGATTATAGACATTATTTTGTGTCCTAAGATATCGCATGGCATGATTTCGTATTTAGATCAACTGATATTTGATCACCACACAATGCACAGGGAGTTATTTCCAACAAAACGATTGACACCTAAATTTCATAATTTAGTCCATTATCCTGCTTGTCTTTAAAAGTCTGGTCCGGCATGTTGATATTGGTGTATGCGGTTTGAGGCCAAACATAATCAGTTGAAAAAATCAGCTACAAGTTTCAAAAATGTGTGTAAAACTGTAGCTCTTAAACAATAAATTCATCAGTGTTTGACTTAGCATTTTGAAAAAAAAAATTCGGTGGCTGTAAATAGTGGTGCTGGAAAACCAATTTTTGTGCGAGTATTAAAGGCAGCATCTGCTGTATGTGACAAATTGTGCATTGGCATGTTGGATGAAGTTTATGTTTATAGGCATGCAATGATTAATGGTACGGATTATTTCAGTGGAGATGTTTTAGTTGTTGGTAGACAGATAGATGAGTGTCTCAAATTTGTACTTATTGGTGAGTTTATTTTAATTGATGGTGGCATTTATTTTGTTTGCCAAGAACTGCACACTCATTATTATGATTTTTCAAAGTCATTATCATGCTTTTGCAGTTGAAGATGATGACTGTGGAAAAAGTGTAGTACTAGAGCAGTGCCGGCCTTAGCCTTTTTGCCGCCTTCGTGCGAAATTTGTCCTGCCGCCCCTGAAAATTTTATAAACGTGCTGGTAAATTACATGGAAAATAAACAAATCGAATTCAAAAATAATACTTTGCAATAAAACGCTACATAAAAAGAAACATTTTTTGTTTATGTTTTACACAAAATACATTTAATTTTTTAAATTAATCTTACGAGCCTTCTTATCACCAAAATCTTTAATTAGGGTTAAAAAATCAAGATTTTCAGCAATATTCTTTTCAATCGATAGGGTTCCTAAACTTGAAAGTCTATCCTGCGACATTGTTGACCGCAGATAGGTTTTTATTAGTTTCATTTTGGAAAAGCTTTTTTCTCCACTCGCTACAGTGACAGGTATTGTTAGCAAAATTCGCATTGCAATCCATGTGTTTGGATACAAATCTTGCATTTTGTGCTGTTTTATAAAGTTTAAAACAATAATAGGAGTAATTTTATCCTTAACCATTTCAGAAAGAAAAGGTTTAATGCTCATCAGTTCATCGCAAAGGAGAATAACATTAATGTCCGATTTTAGATTTACGGTAAGTTTACTTTGAAGAGCTAAACATGATTTTAGAATTTCTTCTCTTTTTTGCAAACTGTCGACATTATACAAAAAACCCCAAACTTCGGAATAATTCTCCAACTGTATAAATCTTTCTCTCATTGAAATTAAATATGTGTCTAAAAGAGGATTGAAGAAATCGATTGCTAATTTTTTTTTCAGGAGAAAATAAATAAATCCCATCTTGGGCTGGTTCGTCAAAATGGCGTTTCACTCGTATTATTCTTTTAAGTGGTTTAAAAACAGGCTCCACTTGCAATTCTATAGCCAAATCCTTTGCTTTTATTTTAATAAAAGCAAAGGATTTGGCTTTTTTTATATGTGGTTTTAAAGATGCAAATAATTGCACCTTTAAAACCACATTTTCTATAGTTTTCTAGAAATGAACAAAAGCTTTTCAATAACTTTGCACATTGAGTGATGTCCATGTCTTTTTCTTGAAGAGTTTTACTAACAATATTGACTTGAAAAAGAACATCATACCAGACAATTAAAGAGACAAGAAAGCTAAAATCTTTTAATTGCTCTCCTAGAGTTATCGCTTCATGTGCAGTTTCAGGATTACATCCTTCAATTTCTGACAATGCTATCAAAGCGTCATGTACATCACCAACTTGATAACGAACGGCTTTAACACTACTTATTTTTGCTTCCCACCGCGTGTCACAGAGTTTCTTTAAATGCAAAATTTTAACATGATCAATTAAAATTTTCCATCGGCTCACTGAAGCTGAGAATAGAATAAACAATCCCTGAAGAATACCGAAAAAAGCTATAGATTTTACTGAAGATCGTGCAGAGTCACTTATTACCAAATTTAAGCTAGGGTTGCCGCAAGGAACATATAATGCTAAAGGATTAAGATTTAAAATCCTTTTTTGTACACCATTAATCTTTCCTTTCATATTTGATCCATTATCATATCCTTGACCTCTGCAGTTAGAGATTTCAAGTCCATGCTTAGTTAGCAACTCGATTAAAACCTCAGTAAGTCCTAAGCCTGTAGAATCAGAAACAGAAAAAAATCCTAAAAAGTACTCTTTAATTTTCACTCTAAGGTCTAATGAAAAGTCAACAATTCGAATAGTAAGAGAAAGTTGTTCTTTTCTAGAAATATCAGGTGTACAATCAGCAATGATTGAATAGTAAACGGCTTTCAAGACTCGGTTTATTATTTCATCATTAACCTTTTGAGACATTAAATCTATTAACTCATTTTGAATATTTTTCCCGCAATAATGGTCTGAAGTGTAACCTTTTATTGCAAGTGCTAAATGCTTTTGCATCACAGGATCAAATTTTGCAAGCATCTGTATTAGTCCTAAGAATTTGCCGTTTTGAGGCGTAAAAAGTTTATTCGAACTCCCTCGAAAAGCCATATTATTTTCAGCTAGGTAAAGAGTGATATTCATCAACCAAAGAAGAACATTTTGCCATCGCAAACTGTCTTTTTCTATAATTTTAATTTCTTCATTATCTATAGTTTTTCCAGTTTTTAATCTTATTTCAGTTTCTACCCACTGTTGATAACATTTCATACGAGAGACGCTGTTTTCATGAATTCCCAATGTTTCAGTTAAATGTCTCCATTTCTTGAAACCATCAGAGACTAAGTTTGACTTTGAACTATTATCAAAAAGTAGACAGCAAAAACAAAATACGGAGTTTTTAGAATCTGAATAAACCAACCATCTACGGCAAAGGGTTTCTCCATTCGCAAGCTTTCTATTGTAATAAATGCTAGAAAAATGTCGACCATTTCTATCTTCAGGGTATTTTTCCTTTATAATTGAAAAGGACCAAGTTTGATTAAATGGTCCACAAAGTTGCTAGATCGAACAACAAGCCAATTTTCACAATCCAATAAATTTGGTGTTTCTTGTAAAAAATCTTCCGATAAATCATTCGATTCTTTTAAAATAACTGGTACATTATCTACTTCAATTTGCAATGAAGTTATACAACTATTTTTGAGTATTGTTGAAGGTTCTCCAATTTTATTGGACATAGTCGTAGAGATAGTTGAAGCATCAGGGTTAAAATCTTCACGACCTTCGTCAGGTTTTTGATAAGCAACATATTTTTCAATGCTCATGAATTTTTTAATTTTTTCAAATTTTTGATCTTTAACGGACTTTCTCTTTCTGTACTCATAACCAGACAACTTTTTTCTCGAATTTGAAATTTTATGTGACATGACACAGAGTATTTTTTAAGATAAAATCATTTCTACAATTTAAAAAAAAAAAAATTTAACAAAGTTCTCAAAACACATTCATAAAATTATTAAAGAAATAAAAAAAAAAGTAACTAAACTTACTGAAAATTGTTTAAATCGAGTCAACTTAACATTTAATAACAAAAAATAAAAACTTTTGAACTTCTTTATAAAAATTTTTTTGCAACTTTTCGAAATGACTCCTAGGGGAAATAACGCACAAATGATACTACAAATTACAATAGAAAACTGTGCGTTAATTAAATAAATGTAGTAATATTTTGTCTTCAAATTTAAAATCGTGTTTTTTTTTGCAAAGGTCGTTAAATCTTCTAATTTACTTTAAACTTTTAATATACTACTGGAAAATTAAAACTTGTGACTAATAAAATTCTCCGCCCCTATTTACTTGCCGCCCTCGTGCAACGCACGACCTCGCCCCCCCCCTAAAAGCCGGCGCTGACTAGAGTATGATGAACTGTTAGATTATTATCCATCGGCTTTGCGCACTGTTTTTGGCACGAGATCAAAGTATTCATTCGTTGCTCTTCGTCATGCAGTTGTAACTAGCATCTCTAAATAAGCATTTCATCTTCAAATTTTATTATGCATTGTTATCGGCGTTATATGTTGTATTCATTTTTGTTTTTATTAATTCACTAAGATCAGTTCATATCGTACGAGTTGTATAACCTGCTGTGTAAAATCAAACGACCATTATGAATCCAATTTCTGTAATTTCAATTTTCTTCATTTCACTTTTTATTATTAGGCTATGTAAAATTTCTTTATGTAGCTGCTCAAAAGCGTGGTTTTGATATCGCTTCGTTCAAAATGGATGATGGTACAGATATCAATGATGATCAAATTGTGCAATATTTAAATCCTGGTGCAATAGTCTATGCTTTAAATGCTGATGAAGTTATCAGAAACTTGGCAACAACATTATCTATAATACCCGGCACACCAGACAACACATTCGAACGATTGCAGACTTATACACTAGAAACTAGCATGACTAGCATAACTTCAGCTGCAGATGTGCATCACATGGAAGACATGGAAGAGGAACAGCAAAGCACGAGCAAGCAAGTTGTACGTAAACGACCAAGGGACGTGCCTGTTACAGTGATTTCAAGTAATAACGGTATATATTACAGTATTATGTCTTATAGTAAAAATCTATTTCAAATATGTTACTATAAAAATGTGTATATGTAACTGTAAGTGTATTTGTATATGTGTGCTTGTATGTATGGGCAGAAGTGTACATTCACATACATGCACACTTGAATACAACTTAGTAGGGTCTGACGTTTAATCGATTAATTGTCCGATTAATTGGCCAAACCTTTAATCGAATAATTTTTTAGTTTATTTTTTTCCGAAAATTCATAAATTTTATCAAAATCAAAATATGAGTATTGCAGCGCATGCTGGAAAAGTATAAAGTACACACCTTTAAACCCCCTAACTCTTATTAACGTAGACGTCATAGGCATTTATTTTTAATCGATTATTAATCGATTAATTAATAGACCGCGTTGCCGATTAATCGATTAAAAAAAAAAAATTAATCGGCATCACGGATTAATACACATGTGCCAGAACACGTATGTTCTCATGCAAGAATCTTAAGGTGCCACTAAAATTCTGCTTCAAATATTATAAATCAATTTGATGTGTAAAAGAAAAATAGTGTATCCATAGTGCATTTGAGTAAACTATAATCAATGAATGTATTAATGATTATTCCCATAGGGCACGGAAGTAAAAAAGGACGTCTTTTAAACGTCTTATACACGTTTTAGACGTTTTCTGAACGTCTTTTGGACGTTTTGGACGTATTTTAAACGTTTAAAAGACGTCTTTTTTACTTCCGTGCCCACTGGGTTGTTATTAAATATCTATGGACGTTTCAATTATTGTGGCATTAAAGAAGCATATAAAAGAAAAGTGGATAGTAGAAGAGGGTAACAAAGCCGTAATGGCACGTGAAGCTCGTTTGGCAATGGTCAAAGCAGCATGTACCCATCTCATTGACTTATTTGGAGAGTATGTATTTTTACATTTTATATAATGTTAGCTTGTTTAAACTCAAATTGAGAGTTAGATAAACTCGACAATAATAGCGAAAATAACAATACGGTAACAATTATGCTAATATTAAGTATTAACAATAATAATCAAGCTTATTTAATGTTAAGCTTATAGGAATAATTTTAATAACAATAACAATAATGATAAAAATTATAAGAAAACTAATATTTAATTAATTAAAGTATTGGATAAATTAAAACAATGTGCATTTTAATCATTGTTAAAATACAATTGATGATGGGTTGGCAGATCAGTTAGAATTATAGTTTTGTGCGAAATGGTAGAATGATTTATTTTCGATGTGTTACCTTTTACAATTATTTACATTGCTGTGCAAGAAAGCATTATTTAATTTATTTTTTGTTTAGTTATCCACCAACAGAAAAGAAAGTGCTGATGGCAAAAAGCATCCCCAGTGGGCACGGAAGTAAAAAAGACGTCTTTTAAACGTTTAAAATACGTCCAAAACATTCAAAAGACGTTCAGAAAACGTCTAAAACGTGTATAAGACGTTTCAAAGACGTCCTTTTTTACTTCCGTGCCCACTGGGTCATAGAAGCTTTTTCTAACCAAAAATCAAGTTTCGGCGAAGGATATGTAAGAATGCATTTATTTGAATACTGATTATGTATTTATTTGAATACTGATAATTAGCTAATAGTATATGTATGTGCATGCATTTTATTGTTATGTGTTTAACCGAGTATATATGAATATGTCATATTTGCTCTATATAGCAAATTAGTATGATAACCAATTTTGTCATCAGAATCTGAAAAGTAAGTCAAAATTGTTGTTTTTGTACATTTAATACAAATTTAAGCAGTAAACTGTTGTTGTTTTTTTTATCAAGGAACATTATTACTCATCAGGTGGAACATGTTTTATACAAAACCGGTTTAGGCAGATTCAACGCCAACTGCCTGAGCAGCAACGAAAATATCGCCAAAGATACAAACTATGTATGTCATTGTTTTCTTATAATTAAGTGTACGATTGCGTTAGTGAACAAATTAGGCTTGAGTAAGTTATAGATACATGTGCAGCTGTTAATCTATTAAGTAAATCTATAGCTAAATATGCAGCTATTGATCTTTTTTATCAGCCTGTTTTATTGCATTTATTTTTATGTACAGCAGTCAATGATAGTGTGGTTCAAGCGGCTGACCAATTTATAGAGGTGTTTGGCGAGGATGCCGAATTAAAAACGGTCATGCTTCAGAACTTGGTACCATTATCGGCCAACGTAGACAAAATCTATACGTTAATGGCTGAAACGTGCAGTTATCGGCAAAGTTGGATAAAAGGGGGTGAAGGTTCTGCTGGACCTACAATGGCACAGATCCTTCAGAAATACCCTCGTTTTATAGATGTGCCTGGCTTAGTAAGTTTCTGTTTTCAAGAACATTGAAAAGCAAAAAATAACTCATACATAGTTTAATTTTCGAGATATACACCCAATAAAATAATAAGTAAACTTAATTATATCCAAAATTCTTTTCGTTTCTTTCGAAGAATTTCATTACATTTATTTCAAGTATTATATTATAGCTATGCAAAATCCTACATACAACTTTCATTATTGTTGCTGATAAAAGCACTAAAAGAATGCTTAGTGTTGATATATATTAATGTTCATTTTACTATTTTTCTGCATACATATATGCAAAACTAGTTTCATTAACTGTTGGTTTCTGTAAAATAATTGATCGTATGATTTTAAGGTACAACAAGATTTCAAAAAGATTTCAAAAGTATGGCTGCTAGTCCAAGAGAAGATCCAGGAGCATACATTGAAAGCAACCTCGCTCTCAAACTGCTTCGTTTTTTGAAAGCAACCTCGCTCTCAAAGTGCTTCGTTTTTTGAAAGCAACCTCGCTCTCAAAGTGCTTTGTTATTGTGTTGGCCAAGGCAAATTTCTTGACCTAACGCAGAACTTTGAAAATTTCACCGCAGGTAAAACATTTAATTATTCACGATTGTACTTGTGTGTAATCAATTTAAATTATTGTAAAAGTATGTAAAAAAACCTATTTATTTGTTATTAGATGCAACGAGTCA